AATCCCACTCAGACCACAAAGTCTACAATCCCGCTCAGGCACGGGCCTCAGACTAGATATTTTTTCCCAGGGGTCAGCAATGTACATTAGAATTCTTCTTAGGATAAAGAATGTTATATCTTAGATGGGGACACTGGTTGTAAAGGTCTGAAATGGAAATCGAAATCTACTGAAATGAATTGTACACTTCAAATGAAAACACTTTAGGGCACAAGGTTAAGCTCCGCCTGTGTCTCTTGAACGGTCAGCCTCTCTGAGGAAAGGGAGCAGGGCTTGCCTTGTGTCTGCTGACACACAGATCAACAATCACTCAGAAAGCCTCAACAGCTGTGTCTGCTATGAGGGAGATGCTGTCTCAAGGACAGCTTTACAGTACAGAAGAGCCAGCCTCAGCCAGAGTCAGGAAGAGCAGGTTAGCCCTGCTAGAAAGCCACACCTTTAACAGTATGTGTCTGTTGAATGAAAGCCTGAGGCTCAAAAGCCCTCAAAGTGTGGGAGGCTCGGCCAGCAGCCAACTGCTAGCTCCCACTTGGAGCCTTTTTAATGACACAGTACCATACCACACCACTTAACTCTCATCCTACAGAACAACCCACCCAGGTGGATGGTGTCTGGATTAGGTCTCTGAAACTTCTAAGGGCTTCTCTGGCTCTCCCTGAGGCTCAGAGTCTCCAGCTTGAAGACAAATGGGCACAGAGGCCTTCGCCAGCCCTTCTCAGAGAGCAGGAAATCAATGACTCAAATGTTCCTTCTGGCTTAGGCAATTGTTTAAATGAGCTTCTGCCCACAGCTGAGAAGGAAAGGGGCGGGGTTATCCTTCAGGCCCCTCCTGGCTGAACCCAATGTGAACTACAGGGAGACATATATGCCAAACTATTTTATCAAGGGTCTTCCATTGCTAGTCAGACTGCCAGAGTAAAACCAACTCTCAGCAAGAACACAGAACCCCTAGTTCACTGAGGGGGATCAGAGGTGTCTGCCCTCCCTGAGTTGTTTCTACAAGGGCTTGGAACTCCCCATGGTGTGCTGCCCAGTTCAGAGGCCTCAGATGCTACACAGGCTGCTGGAGTTGAGAGTCAGCAGCTTGAGTCCCTGGCTTGTTTAGATATGAAAGTACAGAGGCTGAGAAACAACCTGGAGCATGGGAAATTGTGGCTGATTGCTTTTATGAGTGACTCTGGAATCTTGGCCTAGTAGTGGCTGACCTTGTGGAGGTTTCCTGTCCAGTCTTGGGTATGGAATCTTGTCAGTGCTGAGAAAAGCATACCATAACACATTTGCCTTGAAGCTTGGTAGACACAACATTCAGACAGACGACAGACAGACATACACACACACACACACACACACACACACACACACACACTGTGTCATTTCTCCATCCCTATACTCAGATCCCACCAGCCAGCCTTCCACAGCCTTCCAGCCCTAATCTCAAGCTATCACCCCACTTCCCGCAGGCACACTCCACTCCTGGAGACGACAACACCATGGGTGGAGGCTGTGTGCGCAAAGCCGACCTCCGAGTCCCTCCATCCCTTCTAGCAAGCTGGAGCTCAGGGAGCTTACCTCCTCTGCATCTGTGTCCTCCAAATAATGAACCTAAGGATGACCCCCTCAGAGGCCTCGTGGGAAGAGCAGGTGAGACGCTGTACAGGTGAGCAACAGGTCTACGGCAGCTGTGGTGACGGCCGGCCACTGGGAGGAGGGTGCCACCTGCATTTACTCAGACATCTGTTGGTTATGACCCACAAGCTCAGCCCCAGTCTGCTCATGTCTCCTCCACCAGAATGACAACCCAAGGGGGAGCCCAAGCAGCTAGACAAGGGTCTGCACCTGGCCTGGAGCACTTGTCCAATCCTTGTCTGGGCCAGTGGGGGAGGGGACAGCAATTCTGCCTGGAAGCATCCTCTGTCTCCCAAAGCTGCTTGTCTTCATAGCCATGGAAGCCAGACAGAGGGACAGCTGGCTCAGATCTCTCTCCCCTCCTCCCCCCCCCCCTCTCTCTCTCTCTCTCTCTCTCTCTCTCTCTCTCTCTCTCTCTCTCTCGCCTCTGGCTGCCCAGATGTTCAACAGTGTCCTCCCTGCACAATGGGCTGAAACTGTAAGCTCAGTCCACCTTGCCTCTTTTTAAGCTGTGGTGTCAGGCATGCTGTCTGAGCCAGCTAATGCAGCAGCAGCCCTGGACATTACAGATCTTTCTTATCCTCTTGGAAAATGAAGAAAATGTCTCATACAATACAAAATGCCTGGAGCCTAGAGAGGGACTCAGTGGAATACAATAAGCATCGACAGTCAGCACTGAAGCCAACCACAGCCCTTAATTCAAGATGACCAATCACGATAAAATGAGCCCCATGTCTGGATAAACTGAGTGTCCTATGTCAACATTTTAAAAGGTAGAAACTAGGGCTGGAGAGATGGCTCAGTGGTTAAGAGTGGTTAAATGGCTGCTCTTCCAGAGGTCCCGAGTTCAATTCCCAGCAACCACATGGTGGCTCACGACCATCTGTAATGGAGTCTGATGACCTCTTCTGGCACGCAGGTGTATATACAGATAGAACACTCAAGTACAGAAAATAAATAAAAATCTTTTAAAAAATTTAAAAAAAAAATTTAAAAAGATAGAAACTATTTATATTCATATTTGATAATTAATGTAATATATTAACATATTCAACACAAAATTTTTATGACTCAAGTTACTTGTTTTGTTTTGGACACAGGGTTTTACTCTGCAGCCCTGGATAGCCTGGAACTCTGGTGACAAGGCTGGCCTCAAAGTCATAGAGATCCACCTTTCTCTGCCTCCTGAGTGCTTAGACTAAAGGCATTTGCCATCATGACCAGACCTATTTTATACTTTCATATTAAATGTTTTTATCGGACGTCATTTTTTAAAAGGCTAAATTAGTATGTTCCTACACTTAGAGCAAATGCAAATCTGGCATTTGGTGATTGACTTCTCCATTGCTATGTGTGGGAACAGAAACAGGACATCCCAGGTCTAGAAGGAGCCAAGAGGCCTGAAAGTGGTGGAAGGGGCCTGAGCTTAAGTCATGAACATTCAGGAGTCTGAGGCAAGCAGATAGGCTTGACTTCAGAGCCAGCCTGGACTGCAAGAGGAGACGCTCTCTAAAACCAGAATGCACAGCAACAACAACTCTAAGAACTGTCAGGAACACAACCAACCATTTCTGTAGATCTCTCCTGTTGGAGTTGAAAAAGGAAAAAACAGAGGCAAATTACCAAGAAAAGAAACAATTGATTTTTAGTGTAGTCTTAACTTACACTTCACCTCCCTTGAAAGAAGGCAAGAAAACAACAACAACAACACATCATCCTGGTTTGGAAATGGAGTTGGAGTCAGGCATGGTAGGATGCTCCTTTAAGTCCAGCACTGGGAGGCAAAGGCAGGCTAGTTCCTGGCTAGCCTGGCCTACACTCCCAGCAGGAAAGCCAGGGCTACATGAAGAGATCCTGTCAACAAACAAACAAACAAAAGATGGAACTGGTAAGAACTCAGAGCTGAACAGGCATGACAGCATGAGGTCTGTGGATACCTTGGAACCCTGGGCCCGGTGCCTCGGAGCAGAGCTCAGGGATGTTGCCGTGATAGGGGGTCCCTCGAGCACAGAGCTGCACGTGAGGAGAGGGGATAAAAGATGGTGGCCACATCTTAAAGAAAGAAGCCCAGAACACAGATGGAAGCTGAGGACACAGGTCAGTGCACTGAAGGAGCAACTGGTCCCATCTCACCTCAGCACAGAACAAAAACACCCGAGGCTCAGGGACAATGAAATTCTGGAATGTAGCTTAAAAACCAAAAGAAAGCACTAGATGCTAGACATCTTTACAACCAAGTGCCTGAAACGTCTCAGGAAAGGGCAGGAGGTTCATCTACTGGGGTGCGGCTAGGATTGGGAACTCTGTGGTTCTTTCCAGCTGAGGACTCTCCATTGCTTAACTGCCATTTAGGACAGGCACAGGATGACATGTGGACAGATACCATGATGACAATTCTCTATTTGATCTATAGGACATTACTACATACTTATTAGTTTGCCATACTAGATGAAGAACCAATGTGAGCTCTAGGCTGGAGTGACAGCTCAATTAAAACCATGCAATGCTCTTCTTGTAGAGGACCAGAGTCTGCCTCCTAGCACCCACACTGCGCAGCTCATAACTTCCTGTAATTCCAACTCCAGGGAGTCCAATATTCTCCTCTGGCCTCCTTGGAGCACCTGCATTCATTATGCACATACTTATAAACATACAGACAATTTAAGATAAAAATAATTTTAAAAAGCAAATTGCAGGGCTGGAGAGTCTGCTCAGAGGTTAAGAACACTCTTGCAGAGCACGAGTTCAATCCACAGCAGTCATGTGACAGTCACTACTGTCTGTAACGTGGCAGTCACTACTGTCTGTAACGTGTCAGTCACTACTGTCTGTAACATGGCAGTCACTACTGTCTGTAGCTCCAGGTTCTGTGGATCTCATGCCCTCTTCTGACCTTCACAGGTACCAAGCACACATGCGGTGTATAATACACATAATAGAATAAATAAATATAAAAAATATTCTAAGACAGCAAATTGAAAAATACATAGACATAAAGTCTTGAAACATTTCCATCTTAAATGATAAGCAGAGCTCAGGAAAGGACAGAGACTAAAGGTCCTCATATTATAAATACATAAATCCATCCTCCTACTTCATTGAGTTTGCCAACAAGTTGGAAAAAAGACATTGAGCAACAACTGAGCTGCCCTCATTAATCCTGGGTCTGAGCCTGTGACAAGGAGCAGTCTCAAAGCCCAGAGGGTCCCTGTCTGTCACTGGCATGGGTTTCCTACACTTCAGGGCCGAAGAAGCAACCTCAGTACGACCAAAACTACCTGAGACTTGCCAGAACAATCAATTTTTGTGAAACCCATTAGAAGAAATATCTAGTATCATTGTCTTAAGCCTTGGTGGATTGAGAATCAAGTGAATATTTTACATAAAGTGGTTTATTCTCTAGTGGTAAGTTATGGGACTTTAATTATTAATCTAGTGTAAGGGATAAAGTCCAGTGCTGAATGACTTGAGATCTCTTCTGAGATATGAAGAAATTACATATATTAAAGAATTTAAAGAAGAAAAGCTAAGCATAGTCTAGTTAATGCCTGTAATCTCAGCACTCAGATGGTCTACAGAGTCAACACATCCTGACAAACTCAAAAGAACAAGAGAAATTTAGAGACTGGAAACACATCAGTATAACCGCAAGGGTCACTACTCCACAATCTAAAGATCTTTTTTAGATCCAGCTTGATCTAGCTCCCCTGCTAGCCCCGACACCTGCCCTGTCTTATTTTGTATGGGTAGGCATGGGCTCCAGGGTAAACAGAAAAATCAAAGGGTATAAAAGACTCCAAGATGTAAAGACACAAAACAACTCCCCAAAATGCAACAAGATTCCATGGATTGTGACATCAATTCCAAAGCAGTATCTGGTGGGAGGCCTTTGGGATCCGTCCAGCTGACAGGGCCATCCCATTAAGATCCTCTGCTTCCTGATCCCACAGAACTTGGTGCAGCAGAAAGGAGTTGGTTCAGCATATAAGATGGACTCTTTCTCTGCAGTGGTGCAGAGGTCCCTGGGAAATTTCCCTAAGTAATAAGAAAATAGGCTGTTTGACTTATCAGTCGTCAATGTGTTCAGCTTGGCTGAGGCATGCACACTCACAGCTTTGTCCAGCTGGAAACCTCAGCTTGGTCTCACTCTAATGTGTTCTTTCTATCGCTCTCAAGAGGGAAGCCAGGTGCTGTGTTCTCCAGCAGCAAGCTGCATGCTTCCTTTCCTTGCCCATCTTCATGAGGAACTCCTCTGCTCTGAGAAAACCAGCAGGGCCTCGCCAAGTCCACCAAGCAGGAAGCTGCAAACAGTAGCATATGGTCAACTTTCCTCACCTTGCAGGCTGATAACACTGCCGGGCACCTATAAACAACATAGAAGAGTGATGTGCTCCACCATGACCAGCCCAGGCAAGCTTGAGTCCAGGAATACCCTAGGAGCCATCATGCCACTAAAGAGAAAAACATCCGTCACTGAGCAGGAAGTGAAGGGTATGGGAGGCTGCCTCAGGGAAGGGCAGTGTCCCACATATCCTGACAAGGTTAACACTGAAGGAAAAAGCAGGGAAGAACTTCCCATGACCCCTTGGGGGCTTCTGGCTAAAGAGAATTGTGGGATATGAAATTATACAGACACAAACTTGTAATTAAGAAGGGTGTGACTTTACAAGGTCCCCTTCAATTACTGGAGGTCAGGCCTCTATCCCCACCTTCACAAGATTAGAATCACCACAGCCTGTCTATACTTAGAGAAGTGAGGAGATGTCAGGGGCAGCCCTGATTACACACTGAAGGCCTAAAATCAGCCACAGGCCTAAAATCAGCAATAGGCCTGTCATACATGTATACTAACACCAAGTCTTGGGTCTCTGTGGATAAACACTGAAACAGATGGCTATAAGCTATTGTAAACAGGCAGCTTTTGTGGAAATTCACCAGCCCGAGTAGTCATAGACCTTGTAGATAGGTAGCCTGGGCAGATAATATCAACTTAGATAAGGACAAGTGAATCATAGGCAGAGTCATAGCGACTTGTCCCCTGAACCTTCACCCAGCCGATACCCTGTTCTGAAAGATGTCTGTATTCCCCCAAACACCTATGCTCCAGTGTCATCCCCTTCCCCACATCCTGCCTTTTTGTGTTTATAACCCCTGTGTGAATGAGTATAAATTACAATTTGAAAAAAATAATAAATTATATATGTATGTATGTAAAGGGTGTGACTCCTAACAGACTAACGGGGCATTTAAAGGTGACCACAGAGGTGGGAGTCATAAATTTCCCACTGACACAGAAAGAAATGTGGTCGGCGATTTGAAAATTAAGACATGAGAACTATAGCCGGAGAGAAGATATTAGATACTTTAACATACCTAAAATTTAATACACCTAAAGGTCTGTCTTTCCATTTTCTATTTTCAACTTCTTGATAGACAATCTGGTGTCTGTTGTATTCTGGGACTGGGCTAGACCACTGCTAAGAGATTAGAATGGCAGGTCCCTGTCAGTAAAAGGCTTTTTCAGAGGTGATATCTACCCTTCAGTTAGACCCTCTCTTTCTTCCCCTCCTCTCTGTCCACCCACCACTATTCCAGTTCTCTTATGCAAACTCAGTGCACATACACTCAACATCGGTGTCTCTGTACTTCTAATATGTCTGAGATGCTGAATTTATGAAATATGCGTAACACCTTCCCAGTGAAAACCTATATGAGTGATGCTGACATACGGGTCATTTGTACCACTCTATTCTTTAGTACAAGCATGAACTAGGTATGAGAATGTGAACATAATGAACTAATAATCTCAGTCATGTGTTCAGATCTATCCAGCCTTTGTTTCCTTACCTGAGAGTGACCACAACTCAGAGAATGTGTGAGGCTTACAGATAACATATCTGAAGCCACATGTGCTTGGCCTATGGAGTACCAACAAATACATGACTATTCTCTAACCAGATGAGCTTCTGGAGCAGCAATCTCTACCTCAGTAGCAGTGGACTGGCTACCCAACCACTGCCTGAAGGAAAAAACAATCGATCAGTTCTATTTAACTGGCAGGGCTATAGCTGGAATTGGTGTCTTAGGAACCATGGGCACTTACGGAGTTGCAATCACTGCCATTTGCAATCACATGACTGCTTTTGTGAGATGCTGTCATGGCCCAAGTTTCAAAAGACCATACCTAGAGATGCCCATAAATGAAGATGGGGATCTTGCTCGGCTCTTGGATAATTTGGGAGCCCAGGAGCTGAGGGCTTTATGTCACCTGTTCCCTTTGGTAAAGAATGGGGTGGAGGGGAAGCCATTCTTTGTCTCCACAAGCTCTCCTTGAAAGTGCCATTCCTTTATCTGAAGTAGCTCTGCTGTTCTTCCCAGCATCCAATCAAGGTCACACATGTTTCCTCATGTCCCTGGGCAAGCACATAGGTACAGCAACACCGTGAGCAAGGCTGCACAGGGCTCTGCTGTGGGACAATTTCATTTTGCACACTTCTCACTAATCCTCCTTAATCACAGGAATGGACCAGAGCTGTGCTGGCCCTTGGCCAGTTGCTCTCCCGCAGCCTAGCAACAATGCCTGGTATAATAACCTCGCATTCATCCCTTTGGCAGAGACTTCCTGAAACACCCAAGGAGCTTAGTAAATGGTAAAATGAACCTTGAGGAGCCAAGAGGTGAACTTTAATGTTTTTCAGACAGCAGGAGGATCTCACTTGGGGTCTGGAGTCTTAAGAGCATTATAACTATTTAAGTTGGAGCTTGACTGAGCTGTTTGCAAACCTTATACTCCCGTCCTTCCTGAAATGAACACACTTCCCCAGACGGAGGCATAAACCTCAGGCTGCAGAAACCTCAGGCTGCAGAAACCTCAGGCTGCAGAGCACACGTGGCCAGACGCCCATCCCAAGTGTCTCTTCCAGAGTTATTTCAGTGTCTCTTTCTTCCCCTGTGCAGATCAAAGGCCTTGTCTCACCTTACATATGTTATTGTGGCTGTCTGGTTAGTTCCTACTGAACTCAACAGACTGTAGTTTTCCTTAGATGCAGGCCTAGCACACATTGTGTGTGTGTGCGCATGCATGTATTCCAACTTCTTGGTTTTTACTCCCTACCTCACTACCTCACTACAATGTAGTTCCCCAATGTCTCATTCCCTTGCAGAACAAAGTTCACAATCTGTCTTCAGTAGTTAAAGTCGACGTGTAAGCAAGAACACACCACACCCAGTCTGATGTGGTACTAGAGTGGAACCCAGGGCTTTACAAAACCTTAGGCAGGCAGGCAAGCACTCTACCAACTGAGCTCCATCTTGGGCCCTGGATAATGTCTTTTAAAATGAGATGCCCAGCATTTAATTCAAACAGGAAACTGACGTTCCATTCACTAAAGGGATTTAAAGAATATTAGGATATTTTCCCTTGGCTCCTAAATTTATTTTCTGTTTGCCAAGACTTGAGCAGTCTCCAAGAAGGACCCCTAAAATCAGAGGGATAGGATATCTTGATTCAAAGATAATTGAAAACAGGAGGGTGGGGGTGAGGGGTATTATTTGTTTGTTTTTGTTGTTGTTTGTTTTTTTGTTTTTTATTTTCTAGATCTAAGTATCACAGGCTGGTCTCAAACTTACAATCCTCCGGCCTCAGCCACCTCAGGACTGAAGTGTGTGTGTGTATTGTGCGCACACGCGCATAATCTCACACTCCAGCTCTTTACAGTTGTTGATCCTTGGTGACAAAATCTGAGTGACTGTCATAGTTGGCCACCTATGATGGATGGCAGGCCCAGTGGACAAGGACCAAAGGTAAAGAGTTGTCATGGAATCCTCAGAAGGAAGCATATGCATGTGGTCATTCCTCACAGCCTTATACTTGAATCATCCCAAAGGGGAATGAAACTCTGGGATCGAAAAACTCTCCAGAGAAGCAGTACCACAAATAATTCTCTTCAGCAGGGAGACTGTTCACAGGTGAGTTCTCTTGCACGTGTTGAACCTCCTTTGCTAAAGTTTTTTAATAGAGTGAATCATTGTAAACTATAAAACTGCATTAATTAAAAAATGAATTACATATAAATCTAAAAAATTAATGAGCTCAAAATAGACTTCTGATCATGAAAAACAAGACAAATGGCTACGTGACACAGTTGCTTTTAGTTGGGACTTTGAATGCTGACTTCTGGGTATGTAGGCTGACAACTACTCTTAGGTACGGTCCTTGGAAGGATGAATCATCAGCAAGCACAAGATGTGGATTCACACCAGTGAGGGAGCTGGGAGCAGGTGGGAGGGAACGCCTATACACCTGCCTATCATAGAGCCACTTTCAAAGCCATGCCCAGGCTGCCTGGGAGATGCTGCCAAGGACTTCCGGTGAGCTGAGAAAATTCCTTAGGATCTTGTTCAGATAACATTCTCTCCACTCATACATGTGAAAGGAAATCAGAAGAGGAAACTAGCTGGAGGAAGAAAGGGAAGGGCAGAGGGAAACAAATCAGAACTCTAATGACACATGTATGAGGATGCTGTAATAAAACCCAGTACTTTGTATGTCAACTTAAAATACTAATAAAGAAAAAAAAAGCAAGAAGGAGGAGGGGGGATAGGATAGGGGGTTCCTGGGGGAGGGATGGGGAAAGGGGAGAACATCTGAAATGTAAGTAAATAAAATATCCAATAAAAAATTAAAAAAAAAAAATCATTCTCTCCACTCACTTCCCAGAACCTTGGTTTAGTGATTCTCCTCTCAGGGAGGAGATGTCAGTGCCTGTGTGCTGGGGCACATGTGTGAGTGTGAGTGCCCGTGTGCTGGGGCACATGTGTGAGTGCTTGTGTGCTGTGACACAAGTGTGAGTGCCTATGTGCTAGAACACATGTGTGAGTGCCTATGTGCTAGAACACATGTGTGAGTGTATGTGTGCTGAGGTACATGTGTAAGTGTCAATGCCTGTGGCAGTGGCACATGTGTGAGTGCCTATATGCTGTGGCACATGTGTGAATGCCTTTGTGCTGGGGCACATGTGTAAGTGTGAGTACATGTATGCTGGGGCACATGTGTGACTGTGAGAGTTGAAGCAATTGTGAGTTTGGATCAAGCTCAGATGGTTGGGTTTAGAGGCAGGCACCTTTACCCACCAAGCTGTCCTGCCAGTCCAGACCCTCTTGTTAGTAATCTGTTAAACTCCACCTCCACAGTCACCTGGCAACAGCCAGGTATGCTCCTCCCCAGAGTTACCTGGCAACAGGCAGGTAGCCCTGCCCACTATAAAAGGGGCTGCTTGGCCCCTCCTCTCTCTCTTGGTCTCGAGACCCCGCCTGCAGGTTGCCGTTTCCCCTCCCCCCTTCCCTTCCCCCTCTCTCCAAGTGGTCATGGCCGGCCTCTACCCTCTCTACTCTTCTCTCTCTCCTCCCCGCTTTCCCACTCTCTTAATAAACCTCTCCTCGTGGAACCGTCTAGTCTGCTGTGATCTGTTACAAGCTGCGTGTGACCTTTCACCCCTACTTTTTTTTTTTTTTTTTTTGGTTTTTCGAGACAGGGTTTCTCTGTGTAGCCCTGGCTGTCCTGGAACTTACTCAGTAGACCAGGCTGGCCTTGAACTCAGAAATCTGCCTGCCTCTGCCTCCCAAGTGCTGGGATTAAAGGCGTGCGCGCCACCATTGTGCCCAGCAGGCCTCCTACTTTAGATGGTCTAATTTGGTCAGTTAAGGTGCTTCCCTCCCAGGAGGGCAGGCAAGCCAAGTGAGACATGGCCCTGAGCATGCTCCTGGGAGATTCGAGGGCAGTGTCATCCACTCCCGCAGCTGCTGCCATGTGTGGTCACAGACCCAACACAAACTCACAGTTGGTCATCAAAGGAGTATGGAAATCTAGATTTGTAGAAGGAAATCACCTAATTTCTAAATGCTAGTGACTAATTTAAAATTTAAAAATCAATCAAAACCTAAGAAACAATAACTGTACAGGAAAAGGCAATAGGTCTAAAACAAAACAAAACAAACAAACAAAACACAGAAACAAAATCTTAAGGCCTGAAACCCCTGCCCTTTGTGACTTCTGATTAAATTCCTGGGAGACACCTGGGAGCTGCCCTGGTCACCGGGTGGTACTTGAGCGCTCATGGACCAGCCACCTTGGTGAAAGACAGATGTTGCAGTTACAACTTGACATACCCTTCTGTTTGCTCACTTTGTGGTTGGAAAATTCTTTGAGGCTGAAAATCCATCCCTAATCTCAAAAGTTCTAAAGCCCCAAAGCCAAGGTTTCTTTCTGCACTAGTCACACATGCTGCCTCATCCACTGGTGTCTAAATGCCCACTCTTTCCATTTTGTCAGGGCATAGCCTCCATTCCACAGGATGTGAAGCAGCCTGGAGACAGAGTCCCTTCCAGATAGCCCCTGTTTACCAGTGTGCCTTAGCCTTTGCTTACAGCCTTTTCGCTTGAATTTCCCAGGTGCTCAAACAACACCTGGGTTTCTTTGGTTCATTTTTAAATTCTATAAAAAATATGAAAGTGTGTGTGTAAGAAAGAAAAATACTGTCAAGAATTTAACCTAGCACCATGGAGGTGGGAAGAGAAAAACTTCAGCTAGTTCCCTGTCTCCTTTGTGGGCTTTGACCTTGCACACACTGAGGCCTGGGTTTGAATTCTAGTATGATCTCCTCAGATCTAAAAAGATCCAGGGGAAAAGCACGTAAGTGCCTCAGGACAGGATACAGACATTTGGGGCTGGTGAGATGACTCAGTGGTAAAAGTGCCTGCTTCTAAGCCTGACAAAGTGAGTTCAATCCCTGGGACTCACACTGTAGAAGGAAAGAACCAACTCCTGAAGTTGTTTCTGACCACCACATAAATGCTGGGGCATACATATTCATATGGGCACACGCGCGCGCACACACACACACACACAGAAATACATACATTCATCCACGCATACTACATACAGAAGGCCTGTGTCCTCTTTGGACAGTTTTAGGGCATCATCTTCTGTCATTCTGTCTCAGGTCCAAGAGAGCAAGTATGGGGTTAGCTGTGTGGCTTAGAGCCCGTTCTGAATCCTTGCTCTCACTATCCACCTCCAGTCCTGTCTTCCCTGGGTGAAAAAGGCTCTCCTATCCGACACCCTGAGCAAGCCCTTCCCGCCCTCGACAGGTCTGGCATCCTGCTGGCCAGCTTGCGACAGTTCCAAGGCTTGCCTTCTGAGCACTGCCACCCTCTCTCCCCTCCACTCTTCACATCCACTGGGCTTTCCAATGACAACTACCCTATGCTCCCACAAAGGCTTTCTGCCTTGGTTTCCCTTGAATACCCTTGAGAACTAGATACTATCTCACACTGTTTTGACAGCTTTCCCATGTGCTGTGTATAGCACTCAATATAATCTTTTGTGTTGTTTTATTCCAAGACAGAGTTTCACTATGTAGCTCTGGTTGTCCTAGAGCCCACTATGTGAACCAGGCTGGCTTCAAACTTGTAGACATCCACCTGTCTCTGACTCCCGAGCTCTGGGATTAAAGGCATGCACCACAACTCCTGGTAACACTCAGTAAACATGTTTAAAGATGATTTTATTTTTCAGCATAATATTTTATTGGTCCTTGGGAGTTTCACATCATGTATCCCCTCACTCTCATTTCCCAGTCCTTCCATGTTCACCTTGCCCTGATGACCTCCTTCCCAAAAGAAAACAAAAAATTAAAACTAAAATAAAAAAATAAGTCCAATTTGTGTTATCTATATCCTCCTTGGAGTACGGTCAAACTCTCAACGGTCTGAGAGCTGAGTCCTTCCCCTCCCACACCCCTCACCAGAAGCCATCAATTGTGAAGAGCTAACTTCTACATTCTTATCACACATTTTTTTTTGATAGCTTCCATTTACACTGCTACTTTTTAGGGGTGGACTGGTGGGTTGTCACGGAAGCCTTCCATGTCTCTCTTTCTCAACTATGCCTCTGCAATCATCAATATCACTGCAAAAGTAGATTCCTTGTTCTTTACAGTCAGTGGGAACATGGACCATGGCCTTCCACATGGTTTCTGGTGATAGCGCAGACCACAAACATGGCCCCCAGCTTCAGTAGGCCCAAGGACCCAGGCAAGGACCTTAGAGGCAGCCCAGACCACAGACATCACTGTGGCTCCAGATGGTAATGCAGGCCACCCACATTAACATGGCCTCCAGTGGCAGCACAGCATAAGGACATCAGCCTGGCTTCAACAGAATCAAGGCTACCGTATTAAAAACCAAACTTTCCCTACACAGCTCAGGGAACATCACAGATGAAGAGGTAGATGGGACAGGAGAGTGGAGGATGGGAAGAGTACTATGGAATGCTCTCTTCTGGATACAGAACTAGCTCGGCTATGTAGAGTCGACAGAGAACAGGAAATGTGGGGGACTCTAAAGTGAGTAGATGGTGTGAGTTGAGGGTAGATATGCTCAAGATCCATCATACCCATGAATGAAATTGAGAAAGAATAAATAAAACACAGCTGAAAAACTACAATAATGAAGTTTTTATCCTATACACACACGATCCATGGACATTTTGAGTTTGCCATGTCAGACCCTAACCGGGAATGAATGCTGTCTCCTCCCAGGAAATGCTCCCTCTGCTGTCTGACCATCATCACACGCTCTACAGCTGACAGTTGGTACGGTTTGAATAAGTGGCCCATGTTTAAAAACTCCATCTGTGGCACTGGTGGGAAGGTCTAGAACCTTTAAGAGGTGGGGTTTGGCTGTGTACAATTGGGCTGCTGGAGACAGAGCCCTGGCCCTCTCTCGTTCTTTGCTCACAGGCATGGAGTCAGCTTCTCACTCCATCGTACTTTCTCTGCCTTGATATTCTTCCTCATTCAGTCCCAAAAGCAAAGACATGTCTGAAATGGAGCCAAAGCAAACCTCTCTTCCTGTGAGTGGACCTTCTCCAGCCTCCTTTACAGTAACATAAGGCTGAGTAACACATCCCCATGGTAGGAAGAGAAACATTTAAGCCAGTCTCCCTTATGGGCTTTGACGCTGAACACACACAAACACACACACACACACACACACACACACACACACTTTCACAAGCACACACATAAACATCTAACCATCTGCAGAGGGGACAACTGTGTCTGACATTTTTGCATTAACACATCTCACTTGCACAGTCTTCCTAGTTAAGTGTTTTAAAACTTAAGACACAGAGGTTCTGAGCATTTAAGTGATTTTGCCCTCTCCGGGATTACAAAGCTCTGAGGGATTGCACCAGAGTCCAAACGCAGGCTTCCATGCATCCAAATCCCTATAGCCTAGTACTGATTTGAGCACTGTCAGGACTTGCCAACAGCACAGTGTTCAGCCAATCCTTCCCTCCCTTGACACCAAGGGACCAACAGTGGCTTAGCAACTGTGGAGATTCTGAGATGGAGACTTGAGTGGCTAAAAGGTATGGTGGTGACATGTGACCTGGGTATTGGTTAGTTTATATAGAATGTATAAGAACATGCTGTACAAGCATACAGCATTGTGCATACACTGTATAGTGTGTGGGTGGTACAAGAGTGACAGGAGTGCTCTTCTACATGTAAATTTACACATTGATAACCGTTGAAAGATAAACAAGTGGGCACATCTGCTCGTATCTGACACTCTGAAGCAGGAGGTGTAGTACACAGGACAGCACTTGCCCAGGACACATGAAGCCCCAGTACAGCAACCAACCAACCAACCAACCAACCAATCAATAACTAAATAAAACAGGGAAAGCATCACCAGTGTAGACACTTACTGAGGATGGACATATCTACCCACACACACCCCTGCTTCATATGAGCAAACTCAATCTCCTGATGGATTGTGTCTTCTCTCTCTATAGAGAACTTACCATCCCACAGTTGCTCTGGTCAGGGCCATATCAAACAGCAACAGCGACAAGCCAGCTGTGATGACCTGCAGAAACAACAAATGCCTCAGAGCAGCAGGAGGCTAAGCCCCCCAGTTTAGCTGTCGATGCCCATTAGTCCTCTGCATTTAGTGTGGCCCTGAACAAAAATCATGAAATCAAAAAAACGCTCTGTCCTGTAGCCTGTTGGAATCCATAAAAAAGCACTAATCTCTAAGCTACTCAAAGGAGAGGTGAGGTGCCAAAGTCACTCCATTTGCCCAAATAAGAGATTATACCAACATGTGCTTATCCTGTGTCAGTGCACAGAATCCATCCCCAGTGCGGATGGCCTGAATCCAGGTCTTTAGAATAAACACTTATCTGTCCATATAGCCTCATCTCTCTTGCCTCTTCTAACACCCTAGTCTTTCTAGACTGTGACACACATTCTAAGAAGCCAAGTGTTTCCTGGGAGAAAGACAGCAGTTGAGTTAGTAATTTATCTGAATCATAGAAGCAGAGGTTAGTTCTAAGCCAAGGTAGAGGGAAGAGGTTAGCCCTACATCTTCTAGAGATAGAAATCCCAGAAAAGACTCTTAGAAATGGCAGCCATGGGGTCCAGACTCCAGAACAGTTGTGAAATGAGTGTGAACCAATGACCCAACTCTATGCACACTTAGAATGTCTGTGCTAAGCCATGGTGGTTCTTGTGTCTAGAATTCTCAATTCTGCAGGCCAAAACAGGTTCTCTTTAAAAGGTAATCCTAAGGACTTGCTTTCTTGTTGTGAGAGTAGGGTGCAGGCTGCCGATGAGAACTGTTCAAGCTGTCAGCGCTCAGAAGTCTCTGCTACCCCCTTCAAAGAGACGTCTTGCATTGTCCCAGAGGCTCTTCAGATATCCCAGCTTAGAATATGCAGCAAGAAGATGGCCACGAATGGGTTTGATGAGTCCCTCCTCGATTATTATCTTTCCTTCTCTTCTCTTCTCTTCTCTTCTCTTCTCTTCTCTTCTCTTCTCTCCTCTCCTCTCCTCTCCTCTCCTCTCCTCTCCTCTCCTCTCCTCTCCTCTCCTCTCCTCTCCTCTCCTCTCCCATCCCTTTCCCGTTCCTCCCTTCCTCCTCTCCCGTTTTCTGTGTGTTTGCTGGTGTGCATTCACATAGGCCCTCTTGTGCACAAATGTGGAGGTCAGAGGACAACTTCACGTGCCTGCCCTTGTCTTCTGCCTTGTTTGAGACGGGGTCTCTTGTTCACAGGTGAAGTCTCCAAGCTAGCCTGCTCCACCAGCGTTCAGGATTCTCTGGTCTCCTCCCATCTTGCTGCAGAAGAGCTAGGATTATAGATGCCTACTGCCATAACTGGCTTTATTTGGGGTCTGAGCATCTGGTCCTCATTCTTGTGTGGTAACATGTGGTAATAACACTTTTCAACTACCTCACTTTATTGATTTGCAGCAAAAATCTATACAGAAGACCTCTATATTGTCTGCAGAGACACTCCAGGCCAGGCCAGAGGACAGGGATGATGGCTGTCTCCCTCCTCTCCTTTCCCTCTGTCTTCCTCTTTAGTCTGTTTGAAACAGGTTCCCAAAGCTCAGGCTAGCTTTGAACTTGAGATCCTCTTACTGCCACCTCCTGAGTGCTAAGATTACAGCTGTGTGCCACCATGCCTAGACTTTTCACGGACCTTCTATGTATGTGGTCAGGAACCAACCTCGAAACTGAGCTATCTTTCAGGGCAGATGTCTGATTTTGGAAATGAGGAATGCTACCCACACACACGTTCCTTGCTGCCTCATTTCTAGATAGAGGACAAAGCTGATGACGGTAGAGGCTAACCCTAACCCAAAGGCCCCAGACCTGGAACCCTTGGATGCAGATGCCTTTAAGGACCCTGTCCTACCATGACTTCCATTTCTCCCTACCATGAATATTTCATTTGCACTTTCCCCAAATGTACTGCATCAAAGTTTCCCCATTTACCTTCTTGGAGAATTGCTACTTTACCCTGTGTGTCTGCTTCCCTCCATTCAATCTATTCTCATTTTAATTTATTTATTATCATTTTTCCCTGTTCATTTGTTTTCATTACAAATCTTGAACAAAGCTAGCTATACCGATAGTCCTTTTCTTTCAAAACATTTGTTGCTTCCTGGCATAGTACCAACAGGGACGGGACGTGCTTCTTGGAAGTTGCAGAAGGGAAAGTTTGCAGCCTCTATGGCTGGGCTATCAGCTGTAGTGTCAGCATGATGCACTGTAGCACTCCACTGTGACTTACACCTTAGACTGTTCCTCTTTCTCTGTCACTGGCTGTATCTCATTTTCCTTTAAAATTTTTTACATTTAGTGTGTGTGTGTGTGTGTGTGTGTGTGTGTCACAGTATGCGTACAAAGTTGGTTCTCTCCTTCTACTGTGTGGGCTCTGGGGACTGAACTCAGGTAGTCAGGTATGGCAGCGAGTGGCTTTATATTCTGAGACATTTCTCTGGTCCTCCTTTGTCCTTCTCCATCAGGTCTTAGAGGCCTCCTCTGCCCACTTCTCTGCCTAGTCTCTGATTGCCTATTTCATGAGACTTAATCCTGCCTGACAAAAGGGAGGTGTCCCTTGTTGGGAATATTCTCACCCAGGCCTGCACATTCACACCTCCAGAAGGTTCTGGAACTTGGGAGGAATCCTGTCTGCCAGGAGTCAGGCAGCTGGTCTCATTGTGCCTGTGAATAGTGTCTTTTGCCAAGAAAAACATGTCTTAAAGTTTTCAAACCAGTCCTTACTTGAAAATCAGTTTGGTCTAACAGCCACGCTGGTGCGTCTGCCTCTGCTCCTTCCTGGAAATGTTTGTGCAACCTCCCACCTTCCTCCTGAGCATGTTTTCAAGCTCTTCCAAAGTTTTCTCTTTTAACAAGCAAGACTGCTGATGGCTGTGACACTCACTGACATGTTGTAAATCAGTGTGGCTTGTTTCTGTCAAAAAATGCACACCAACAAATGCTCGCCTGGCAGGGCTACTATAAAGCGAAACAGGCTGCTTTCCATTTACTCTGTAAGAAGTGTCATGGTTTTTAGCTTTTATACTTTCTTCCTTCCATTACTACAGCAGTGGCAAACTCTCAGTAAACTGGGCAGCCAGGCAGTCTGGCCTGCTCACTCAGTGAACGGCTTCCAAATGCTGACCTCTCCATGTCTGAGGGTCAAATTCATGTCTGCTCAAACACGAGCATACATAATTTTCTGTACACCACAGCTACGGGCCTACTGGGAATACTCCTCAGTGCCATGCTGAGCCTGTACCAAAGGGCCACTTCGGTCATACCCCACCTATGAGGAAGTGAAAGCCAGAGGCTGAGTGTTCCAGGCCGGAATATCAAATGGCTCATGTACAGTCATGCAGGGGCAAGACCTAAGCAATAGAGCCCTCCCTTGGCTAACAGGTGGAGGGCTGTGATTGAGAAGCTGTGACTTGCTCCAGGAACATCGGCCTGTGGCAGTGAGAGGAGAATCAAAGCCTTGTCTCCTGGCTCAACTTCTTTTATGGCCAGGAACTCAAGAAAGGGCCTCATAAGCCACATGTGGCTTTAAAAAGCCACTGGAAGGGCTGGGGAGATGGCTAAATTAGTAAATCGCCTGTGTCACAAGCACAGGGATCGCAAGGAAGTCTCTAGAATCTACGTAAAAAGATGGCATGCTGGCAGATGCTTGTAAATCTTGAGATAGGAGGCAGAGAGAGGCGGGTCCCTGGAGCTCACAGGTCAGCCTGCCCAGCCTACTTGATAAGTTCCAGGCCAATAAGAGATTGTATCTCAAACAAATGGTAGAAAGGCACTTGAGAAATGACATCCGAGGTTGTTCTCAGACCTATACACCCATGAGACAAGTATACAACATACATGAACACCCACATTCACATATGTGTACACACAAACCTGACATTTTCACATAGCCATGTTCACAGTGGCATCATTCACAACCGAGAGTTAGGAGCAAGCACGTGTCCCTTGAGACATGAGCAGGTAGAGAAACTGACTCACAATGGCACCATTCAGCTTTTAAAGAGGAAACTCTGAAACTTAATTCAGCATGGATTTAGGACAAGTGAAATCAGATTCCATATATGTAAGGTATCTAGTCACAAAGCTCGTGGAGGGAGAAAGGAACTGCCATGCCCTGGAGGAGCCCAGAAAGGAGAGTTATTGATGAATGAGTACAGAGTTTCCGTTTAGAAAGACGATCTGTTGAGGGAGACCGGAGTGAGGGTTACACAATGGTATAAATCCACTTAATGTTACTGGACTGTCCATTTGTGGTGGTTTGAATAATGGCCCATACAGACTTATACTGTCAAATGCTTGGTCACCAGGGAGTTGCAGCATCTGAAAGGATTAGAAGGATTAGAAGGTCCTAGAGGAAGTGTGTCACTAGGGCTGGACTTCAGGGTTTCAAAATCCCATGCCAACCTCAGAGTCTCTTTCTTAGCCTGTTGATCAGAATGTAATTCTCAGCTACTGCTCCAGTGCCATGGGTGTTGCCATGTCTCCCATCATGATAACAGGCTAACCTCCTGAAACAAGTCCCCAATTAAATACTTTCCTTTATAGGAGTTGTCTTGGTCTTAGTGTCTTTTCACAGCAATAGGACAATGTCTAGGACACCACTCAAGACGGTTCTGGAGACATGGCTCAGCAGTAAAGTGCTTACTGTTCAAGTGTGAGGAGCTGAGTTCAGAAACCTACATCATTGCCGGGAGGGCATGTCATCCTGCCTGAGACAGGAGCCCCAGAACAAGCTGGCTACTGTGACCAGCCTCAAGGTTGACTGAGAGACTTTGTCTCCATAATGAAGTGGGAAAGGAACAGAGGATGACTCCTCACATCAACCTTGAGCCTCTACATGTTCAGACACACAGGAAGCAGGTGTGCATGCACACAGCTAGAAATGTGCACACACATATACATGTGAACAATGGAAAGAAAAAGAAAGGCTAAGACAAATCTTATGTTTATCAGAGAGTCAGACAGAGAATCCATTTAGTTCCTGACTCCTCAATGCCAACTGATCACAGAGTAGTCAC